TCCCATTTACCCCACAGGTATTTCCTAGGGCTGGAATGCTAAGTCATAGGGTACACTCCCACCAGCTTTACCGGAGATCCCTTTGTCCTTGCATTTGTTTTCTAATGCCATTGACAAAATTAGCTCATATTTTTGGAAAACAAGATTCCATTTGTTTTATAACATAAATCCAGTTACTTTGGGCAAAGCTAGAACAAAAAAGAAATTGTTTTCAAAGGGACTTTCAAGCAGCCTGGAAATTTTGTGTACACCTCAAATATAATGATGGTAGTGGGCTTTCTATGGCTATCTGGTACCATGTGGAGGGACAAGTCCTTCCAGAGCTTACATGCATCCTACATCACCTCCTGTGTGTGCACTCCTCTGGGAGAAAGTGATTACATATTCAGGAGGGCTAGGCAAGCAGGTAGCTCTCGTGAAGATACGACATTCATAGTGGAGCTTTGTCACCTATTTGCTCTTTGTTTCTGGTCATATTTCTGTTTTTCTCTCAAAGAACTTGTATTTACTCTTGGATCCAGAGGCAATCCATTTCTCTTCATTTGTGTATTTGTTTATTCATATATATTCCAAAGGATTTGTCTAAGAGTGTACCTCAAATTGTTACCTGGTGGGGTCTGGGCCCAGACCGGGTCTGTGGGTCTGCCTTGAGCCGGCTGGTAGCATGTGAGTTCTTGACTTCATGCAGGAAAGATTTCATAACCGGAGTCCAGGTGATTTTGAGAGTACATTAATGAAAACTGGTGACAGTGAAACAAAGGAAGAGTTAAAGGTAGAAGCAGCAACAGGAAAGAGATTAGGCAGAGCTGCTTTGGCTCACTGAGAAATAGAAATCACAGTCAAAGAAGTGAGCCAGGGAGGGGCTGCTGTTAGCTCACTGGAAAGTCAGAGAAAAGGGGGCCTTGGAGACAGGTTCAGGGGGTGAGCCCAGGATGAGATGCCGCTGCCCGCTGCTCCCTTGGTGGCAACTCTTGTAGGTCCCTTAGAGTTTAGAAAAAGAGCAGAGATGTAAGGCACAGGCACGCTATAGTGAGAGGGCACCGTTGCTCCTTTGTTTTGAGGCGTTTTATCTTTAGCCAGTGGAAATCCAAGTGGAGGTCTCAGAGCGGGGTCTTAACAGGGTATTCACTAGCTTTCCAGGTGTGTCCTTCAATATGTTGACTCATCAAAATGTGCATATGGAGGGGTCAGGGTTCTTTTCTGGTTCGTTTCATTTTAAAACGACTTCATCAGAGAGGGACTGGGATGAGGCCAGGCTTCCCCAAGACGGTCTGGAGTGTGTAAACCATTTGTTCCTAAGTGCCCTTGGTTAGGGAAGGTAAAACCTTGTGATTCATTAGCTGGCTGTAAATTGCTCAAATTGTTTTGCCTTGTGTAATTATTTTTGTCTCAGTTTCCCATATTCTGCTTCCCTAGCTTCTTACTACTCTGCTTTAAAATTATAGTGTTTGTTTTTATTAACAATAAAAAATATTTATTAAGCACTCTGTGCCAGGCTCAGTGCTAATGCTTTACATAACATCTCATTTGATTTTTATTTTATTTTAGCAATCAATGAGAAAGAATTGTTCTCTACATTTTCTAGGGAGGAAACTGAAAGTCCAGTTTCACACAGGATTTGAGCCCAAGTGTGTCTGACTTCAGGGCTCATCCTCCTAAACAAGACACTATATCTCCTATATGTTTAGATTATCAAAAATAAATTTTGCTAACGTATATCATATTGGTTGTCTTTGTGAGTTTGTTCTCCCACCTCCATTCCCGTTACTGTAACCAACTACACAGGCAAAAAACTAAGTGAACAGAGAAAGTAACTTGAATCCCTGAGGATTGCTACACTTTTGAAAAGGCCTGCTGAAAGATCTAAATTAGCCGGTTTGGCCATCTGTTTTCCTTAGCCAAATGGATCATTGCATGTGGTCTCTGCTTGTGTAGATGCTGGGTTTAGCTTGCTGCTTTATGAAGTTACATTTGCTCACAGAGTGTTATGATGGAATTTTAAAATAATTTTATCTGATCCGTAAGTTGTACCTGTTAAAAATTATTTCAATACTCTGACAGTAAGATCCAGAAGAATATTGAATGTTGGAAAAGATGTAAGATTATAAATCTCTTACAAGTTTCCCTATTGTTGAAAGAGATAACTGATTAATACATACATTAGAAATTGGACTTTTGGTCTTAGCACACTTTTCTAACTATATTAGTTGTTATTTTTAAATAATTCTTTTTCTTATGGGTTTTAAGGAACCTAATTCTATCCTGCCTTTTTCCTTTTCTGTTTTCTTTAGAGTCACTCAAGGAAAAGGATTAATGCCAGATGGCACTAGCAGATTTACTTGCAAAGGAAAGAAAATTTTACATTACATGGGAACCAGTACGTTCTCTGAATACACAGTTGTGGCTGACATCTCTGTTGCTAAAATTGATCCTTTAGCACCTTTGGATAAAGTCTGCCTCCTGGGTTGTGGCATTTCCACTGGCTATGGTGCTGCTGTGAACACTGCCAAGGTAAGTGTTGGCCTGGCTTTTAGCTCCCACCTTCTAATTTGATACAACAAAACTTTGCTGAAATAATTAAATTGGTCCGATCTGTAAGAAACCTAGTGATTTTCTTGACTCTTGTGGAAGCAGTACCTCATAGACTGTCTTACTATTAGGTGGAGCCTGGCTCTACTTGTGCCATCTTTGGCCTAGGAGGAGTTGGATTGGCGGTTATCATGGGCTGTAAGGTGGCTGGTGCATCCCGGATCATTGGTGTGGATATCAATAAAGATAAATTTGCAAGGGCCAAGGAGTTTGGAGCCTGTGAATGTATCAGCCCCCAGGACTTTAGTAAACCCATCCAGGAAGTGCTCGTTGAGATGACCGATGGGGGAGTAGACTACTCCTTTGAGTGTATTGGTAATGTGAAAGTCATGGTAAGTATGCTTGGTTGGCTTCATTCCTTTCTCTCTCTCTCTCTCTCTCTCTCTCTCTCTCTCTCTCTCAGTAACTTTTTTTTTCTAATATATTTTTATTTATTTCAGAGAGGAAGGGAAAGGGAGAGATAAAAACATCAATGATGAGAGAGAATCATTGATCAGCTGCCGGCTGCACACCCCATACTGGGCATGTGCCCCACTCCGGAATGAACCATGACCTCCTGGTTCATAGGTCAATGCTCAACCACTGAGCCTCGCCCTGCTGGGTTGTAACTGCTTTTTTAATGTAATTTTCTTAAGATTTAAAGTTTTATTTTTGTAAAGGAGAAGTCTCTTGATAAGAATTATTCTAATAGAAGGAAGGAAAAATAATGATTTGAACTACAAATGGGAAATGACATGAGTGACTCAGGGAAGGATGAAGAAAAATGTTTCTTTGCCTTCCATGCATGCTGGATCTTAGAGTATGTCTGCTTAAATAGAGGCAGAGTGATGCAGTTGTAGAGAGCATGCGCTTTGAAGGTGGATAAACATCCACATGCTAATTCAGTGACCCTGAACAATGACTTCTCTAAATCTCAGTTTCCTCATATGTAAAATACAGACAGTAAAGCCCCTACTTGATACAAAGTAGACATTCAGCAAAAGTGTCAGTATTACTTCTCTGCCTACTTCTTTTATTAAAGTCTTTAGAATTTTGAGCTGGTATTTACTTTTAAAAATGGACAGCAAGTAAAAGCTTTAAATCCTTTCCATTGGTGTCACTATATAGCCAAGGTAATAAATTTCTTTTTTTTTTTAAGGGGAGAATGATGATTTTTATTTTTTTAAATATATTTAATTGATTTTTTTACAGAGAGGAAGGGAGAAGGATAGAGAGTTAGAAACATCGATCAGCTGCCTCCTGCACACTCCCTACTGGGGATGTGCCTGCAACCAAGGCACATGCCCTTGACCGGAATCGAACCTGGGACCCTTGATTCCGCAGGCTGACGCTCTATCCACTGAGCCAAACCGGTTAGGGCAATGAATTTCTTAAAGAAAGTAAAATTGTTCAATAAAAGTAAATGCACTAAGCATTCTACTTGATCATTTTCCTGCCGTTTTTTTAGAAAGCTTTGTGAAACCACTTTCTTTGCCCCTCTCCCCCAGAGTTTCTGGGGAAGCAGATATCCTCGGCAAAATGCACTGACTTCTGTGATTTGGTTCATCTCTGCCTGCAGAGAGCCGCGCTGGAGGCCTGCCACAAAGGCTGGGGCGTCAGCGTGGTGGTAGGAGTCGCTGGTGCCGGTGAAGAGATCGCCACTCGGCCCTTCCAGCTCGTCACAGGACGCACATGGAAAGGCACCGCCTTCGGAGGTGATTGTTGGATGGGATGGCACGTTTTCTCTCTCATTTCTATTTGCAGAGTTTTAATTGCAGGCCAGTTTTCTTGGTTTAGCAACAATTTTCACGGGCTTCTTCTCATACTGAGTTGTTGTATACAAAGTTATTTTAATAGAAGAGTTTCACACTCAATCAGTATTTTCTCATGAAGCTCAAAGCCACATTTTACTCAGTAAAACAAGAAAATTAATATTCTGTTAATGAGGCCATCGCTGGGGGTAGGGCAGGCATGAGAACTTGTTTGCAGGCTAGGCAAACAACAGTCATCCACGCTGCGTCATGTTGTGGAGTTAAATAGGTTACAGGCATTTTTTACTCATTTTTCTGGAGGGTGCAGTGGTCAGTCATACCTCTGAAGAATACTGATTTCAGCGTAACTAATATTAAATCAAACTGAAAATGTTAAATTAGAAAAAACCTTATAACAAAATTAAAAAGCTGCCAGACTGATCATTTTTCCCTGGTATGATCCTAAAAAGTGCATGGTTGTTAACCTTTCGTACGCCATAAGCCTCTAGATGCAAGGATGGTTTCCATTTTGGACACATGGCAGTTAACTGGTTAGGGTTGCCTGCGTTTTAATAGGTTTTTAAAAAAATATATTCTCACTATCCTCTTAGGAATAAGATCATATAGCATGAGCTTTGCATGATCTGTGTATCTGTTAACATCCACTACCTTATGTTATGCCTGCTTTTTTGAAAGTCAGAAGAAAAGATTCAGGAAATATGCTAAATTGAAGAATTTGGCCAAAGTTTTCCTTCTTTATACTAGAGAATTTGCTGTAGAAACGTCACGCTGACTAAACCCTCCTGTCCTGGAAGTATGCTGAACTTGAGAATCTTAGAACAGACCTTTAAAGCCACACATGCAACTCAGAGGCATCCTCTCAGGATCCAGAGCTGAATTTGAAGGGCCTTCTAAGCCTGGGTGACTGAGCCGGGCCGGGTGGTAGGAACCTCTGACTGAAGCCTCGTCCTAGCTCAGTGCTGTTTGGGAACTAAGCAGGAGCATTTGGGGCCCCGTGGGGTTCCTAAAACAGCGGTCGCCAACCTTTCGGGCCTCACGGACCACCAGTTGGCGACCACTTCCCTAAAATATGACCCACAGATGTAAATAGATGTTTTGGTCTAGAGTTGTAGATGTCTTCGTTTTAATAGGAGTTTTGAAAGAGAAAGAAAAAGCTCTCAGTCTGTAGGGGAAAAAATAATTAGTAGAGGATATAATGAGGGAGATTTGGAAAAAGCTCAAAAGAGATTTGAAATCTGGTCCAAAGCATCCCGGCTTTAAAAAGTAGGAAGGCTGCTTTGTTGATTTATTGCTTCTTTCAATAACAAGTGAAAAATTAAAGCATCTGATTTTCTACTTTGCTTTCAGTTTCACAGTTTTCCATTCTGAGTTGCTATCCCTATTCATTGTTGATTTAACACCAAAGAAAGAGTCACGTAGCACATCAATATTTTTCTTCCTTACATTTCATTATAATGGAAATCTCTGCTATTATGGACCTAAAAAATAAGCTTCTAAGACTTACAGAGTTCTATTCTGGGTAGTCTAAAAGTCTCAATTGAAACTTAATGACATTTTAGTAAATCAGTATAGAAAGAGGAACGTATTAAAAAGTCATTTACTTTTTTCTTAACTAATATTCATTAAATTCTTTCTCATCTCTATGCTGATTTTGATGTTTTTCATTCCTATGTAATGAAAACATTTATTCTCTTAAATGTCTTTGTTTAACCCACAAAGTAATAAACATACTGTAGAAACTTGCTGAAAAAAAAATTAATGAATAGATGTATGATTTCTTTTAGGATGGAAGAGTGTAGAAAGTGTCCCAAAGTTGGTGTCTGAATATATGTCCAAAAAGATAAAAGTTGATGAATTTGTGACCCACAATCTGTCTTTTGATGAAATTAACAAAGCCTTTGAACTGTTGCATGTAGGGAAGAGGTAAGCTGTCCCTTAGGTTGTATATTATAGAATAAGTTTATGGAGGAAAAAGGATAAACATATCAATTTAATATTCCTAAAAGAGAAAAGATACCATTCAAAACCTACATGTATTGTTTCTTTCTCTTACAGCATCCGGACTGTTGTGAAGTTTTAAATTAAAAAAAAAAAAAGAAAATATGTCCATCCTTATAACTGAATCATGTGAGCTGATTGGAGCAGCCCGACAAGCTGGGAGAAGCTCTTACAAGTTCATAGCCTCTTAGATGTTCGGTAACCTACTCTAGGGAATAATGTTTTCTGTATAATTAATATCTCTAATCAAGGGGAAGGCTAATACAGTCATAAATCTGTTTTCTGGACTCTCCTTATGAATAATTGTTAGCTCATTAAGGAATTTTTTAACAAAATAAAAGTAATTTCTGCATAAATGTTTATCTGTTTTATGCTAAATTTATACTCACGGTTTTTTCCCCACTATCTTTATTCTTTAAAGGAAAGATGGAAGTAGGCCAGTAATGAGTTTATGAACCTTGTCTGCTACTGGCTCAGGAACTTTGGCTTAACTTTTAAGAGTCTCAGGCCCATTTACTGAAGAACAGATGCCCTTAGCCATCAGTGGCAAAGTTAATGAGAACCCAGGAAGGCCTCTGTGAGGTTATCTTGAGGGTGGGCAGGTACTGTGCCTTGTTCAAACTTACATACCCCCAGTTCCTAGCATGATATCTAGCCCACAGTGAGCACTAAAATTCATCATTGAAACAACCTTCTGTACTTAAGTAGGTGTGTGTGTGTGTTCTTAGCTCTATAAACTATTTCAAGATTATAAAAATTACAGTTATTTATGTACTGAATGTCCAAGTTCCGGGCACTTACTTTGATCAGATCTTCACATGTTACCATTGGCCAGACACATTGCACTTCCAGAGGAAGCAGCGTCCAGAAATCGATGTCTAGCACTCTCATGCCTGTTGTTATGCATTTTACTGCCCGGGCATACGGTAAGTCCTTTGTCTAGCACTCTCATGCCTGTTATGCATTTTACTGCCCGGGCATACGGTAAGTCCTTGCTTACTGTCGATAGGCTCTTGGCAATTGCAACTTTAAGCAAAAGGACACCTCACCAAACCATAGTCTAACTGATAGACACAACAGTTAAGTTCCTACCGCATATTTCTGGTCACAAAAACATCACCAAACTAAAGATTCAACATTGAAATAAATGAGAGCTATACATACATTGAAGAAAGATGAATAAAAACAAGTCAGATAATGATGTTCCCCCAACCCACTGATTCCAGTTCAGGGTTTCGGGTAGCTAGAGCATCTCTGCAGCTCAGGGCGAAGGAGGGACTCCCATCACAGGGCACACTCACACCGCATGCACTCAGACTGGGGCAATGTGGACATGCCATTCACCTCACATTCACACCCATTCAGACATGGTGAAATGTACCAACTCCACACAGACAGTGGCCCCAACTGGGAATTTTTTTCTCATCAACATTACAACAAAATCAAGTTGAAGAAAACCAGGTTATTCACTTTATTGTGCTTCTCAGATACGGGTTCCGTTTTTCTTATAAACAGGTTTGTGTGGCAACCGTGTGTCGAGCAAGTCTATCAGCACCATTTGCAACAGCATTTGCTCACTTCAGGTCACATTTTGGTAATTCTCGCAATATTTCAGATAGTGGTTCCTCTAATGGATCTGGGCAAAGTACATTGAAAACCTAGAAAGGATTCACCATTCTAGATGCCATTAAGATCATCCGTGACTCATGTGAAAGGTCAAAATACCGACATAAAGAGTTCGGAGGAAGTTGGTTCGAACCCTCATGGATGACTTTGAGGGTTCAAGACATCAGTGGAGGAAATAACTGCAGATGTGGTGGAAATAGCAAGAAAACTAGAAGATGTGACAATTCTTGCAATCTCACATGATAAAACTAACGGGTAAGTTACTTCCTAGGGATGAGCAAAGAAAGTGGTCTCAAGATGGCATCTACTCCTGGCAAAGATGCTATGAAGATTGTTGAAATGTCCACAATTGACTTAGAATATTACCTAAACCTACTTGATAAAGCAGCAGCAGAATTTGAGAGGATTGGCTCCAATTTTGAAAGAAGTTTTATAGGTAAAATGCCATCAAACAGCATCCAGTACTACAGAGAATTGTTTGTGAAAGGAACACTCAATGTGGCAGGATTCACAGTCCTTAAGAAATTGCCACAGCCACCCCAACCTTCAGCACCACCACCCTGATCAGTCAGTGGTCATCAAAGAGGCAAGACCTTCCACCAGCAAAATGATTACAACTCACTGAAGGCTCAGATGGTGGCTATTTTTCAGCAGTATTTTTAATTATGTACATTGTGTTTTTTCAGACATAACGCTATTGCACTTAATAGATTACAGTATAATATAAACATAACTCTTATATGCAACTTGGAAACCAAAAAGTTGTGATTTTATTGCCTTGGTCTAACACTGAGCTTATACCTCAGAGGTATACCTGGACATATCCATAAACCCTCTAGTATTGTTGTGCATGTTTTAAACCTGATACTGTCTCATTCTGCAGCTTTCACTTTTCATTCATTGTATGCTTAATCTGTTATTTTGTGCTTAATCTCTGTTGTATGTGAAGCTCTCATTCATTAATTTTAATACCATGCAACAATACTTAATTATATGTAGTACCATAATTTACCCGTTCTCCAGTTGATGGCATGAAGTTGTTTCCAAAGCTGTTCCTGTATTGCTAACAACATTGTGTGGGGACATTCTTGTGCATTGTGCTCAATGTGTTAGTTACTTAGGATAAGCACATATTTACTAGAAATTGACAAATTGCTCTTCAAAGTTGTTGGACATTTTTGCAAATCACATGGGTGTGAAGTGGTATTTCATTATGACTTTAGTTTGCATTTCTGTAACTTAAGTCCTTCATTGGCCATTTGTATTTCCTTTTCGGTGAAGTATTTTTCATATCCTTTCCCCATTTTCTATTGGATTAACTCTTTTTCTGAGTAACTTTTACAGGGTCTTTTTTTATTTTTTATTTTTCTGAGGTCTTTATTTTAGATGCCAATCTTTTGTCAGTTTTATATTTTATTGTATTTGATGTTATTTTTATTTTTAAACCTGATAGTCTCATTCTGCAACTTTCACTTTTCATTCATTGTATGCTTAATCTGTTATTTTGTGCTTAATTTCTGTTGTATGTGAAACTCAAATTATCAGTCTTCCTGGTGCTGTTAAGGAACACTTAGAGTTTTTTATTGTATTTATTTTTATTTTTTATAATATATTTCATTGATTTTCCACAGAAAGGAAGGGAGAGGAGCAGAGTTAAAAACATCCATGAGAGAGAAACATCCATCAACTGCCTCCTGCACACCCCCCACCGGGGACTTGCCCACAACCAAGGTACATGCCCTTGACCGGAATCGAACCTGGGACCCTTCAGTCCACAGGCTGACACTCTATCCACTGAGCCAAACCGGTCAGGGCAACACTTAAGAGTTTTTTTAATCCTGAGCCATATAAAGAAGCAAAAAACGATGGATAGTCTTACCATTCAGATAATCCAATGTCATAAAAATAAACACATGAAAGCAATATATCCATGAGTTAGAAAACTCAAATAGTAGAGAAAGAAAAGCTACATGCTCCTCCCCTCCCCTAAGTCAGGTGACCACTGTTAAGTCTATATTCCCAGAAGTATCTATGTACATAATAGTATTTATACACTTCCTTTAAAATTACACAAAGGAATACTATTAACGCTATCCTGTGCTACATGATAGAGTATTTTAGACTGTTTCAGTATCGGCACATCAGATATGCCATGCATAGATATATCCTTTGATTAGATTGAAAAGCATGTGCTTTCTTTTTTAATACTTTTGATTGATGTGGCTTGCTTGCTTCCAAAAGGTTGTTTCTGATCGAGCAAATTTAGTGGAAAAGTAGAAGTATGGTCTGGGTTCTCCTTTTAAATCTTTGTGCATTTGAAGGGCTAGGCAGTGTAACCTACCTCTCATTTAGCTAAAGGGCTGGAGAGACCGTAGGGGCCCAGGTGACCCTGAACTATTTATTATCCTGGGTGAACATGAAGGGGAAATTAAAACTAGCTTCTACCCCTGCAGTAGAAACTGTGTTTAATCGGGTTTGGTTTAGCCCAACCTTCCAGGAACAAAGCATGTTATTGCCTTGGGCAGCTGCAATAACAAAATGGGCATGTAGGGTACTAATGGAGAGCTATTAATTCTTTTAAAAAGCTTTTATTTCCCGTTTTCTACTATAAGGATTCTTGGATCATGGGACTATAGGTATAAAGTATTCCTTATTAAGATCCTTTTAATACATCCTCTTGGGTGGCATCTAGAATGTCATGTATATTGCTGAACCAAAGTTTTTGGAGGAAAATATGGATTCAGCACAGGACTAAAAACCATTCACTATATGCATATCAGCAAATCTATCCTGGTTGTCCAAAATTAGGATTCTGCCACCTTAGGAATGTTGGAAATTTTTTGAACATCTTGGACGAAAGGTATATAATTTTAACATATATGGCTATAACTTCCACTGTATATTTCATGAAAACTAGTAAAATGTATTTTTAAGGATCTAAAATATTACAGTATTAAGAACCTTAAGCAGCTTCATTTTTATTTTTTATTGAAAATTTTTCACATACCTAACGTTTTTCAAATCTTCATTTCCATTTTCAGCATGTTGGTCTCTCCTGCTTTCTACTTATTTAATGATGTTCGCTGAAAATTGTCCATATATAGGCATGTCTAACTTGGAACAAGTTCTTTGAGAATCATTGAACAGCTGCCTCCTGCACGCCCCCCACTGGGGATTGAGCCCAGAACCTGGGCATGTGCCCTAACCAGGAATCGAACAGTGACCTCCTAGTTCATTGGTCAACCCTCAACCATTGGGCCACGCCAGCCAGGCTGAACAAGTTATTTACTACATGCACAGAGAACTAACAACATATACAATAGAATGTGTAGAATGATGGGTGGTTGTTTTTTTTTGAATGGAGGTGAGGAAAAAACTGCATTATGTCCAAAATTCTGTGACATGGAGCAGGTTAATGTGTGTAAAACTCACACCAAACAAAAATGTCTCCAAAGCATACACATGTTACTCCTATTTATCCATTTTGGATGCAAATGATACGTAATTCTCAAAATGTCTTGATTTGGGGAGGGCGGGGGGAGACATATTTTGCATGCACAGAACGCTTCAGAACATTTTCTGCTTGGCTACCAACCTACAAACAGGCTGATGATCAAAGTGCGAAAGTGACTTTGGGCCTGGAAACATTTTGCTGACCCAGGAAAAAGACCAACTTTGGACTCAGACAATTTTGTTTCAATCAACACGCAAGATCAGAGATTCTCTGTCAGCAAAT